TCACCAACCAATAAACTTGTCACCGGCCAATAAACTTGTCCCTTCCAACAAGCTTATCCCAATCTTTCTCCTCCACCTTCCTAACTTCTCCTGATCCTTCTCCGAGACTTCCACCACATAGGTCCTTCTGTCCGAGCTCTCAGCTTCAGCCAGCTCATCCCAATCGAAAATAGACTGGTGCATTTGCGGTCTTTGACTCATCCCTGTCAGCTTCATCCAGCTCATCCCAATCGACGTAGCTTGCTGCATGCACCTTTCCCCCCTCATCCTGCTTCTCATGCTCACGCAATTCTCGCGTCATGTACTTCAATACTCTCATAGGAAACTTTGATCTCTTAAACTGCATCCTTGAAGCATGATGCCTCATCTTTGCAGCCAAATATTAAATATGGGTTCCTGATCATCCCACAACATGGTTCCCACCTCATGGTACCCCACCTCACCCTCCTCGATGGGCTCTAAGTCCAACTCTTCCCAATCAAAGACCGCATCATGTGGTGCCACACATGGCTCATAGTGTTTATTCGCATGAGGCTCTTCATCTGGCACGCCATGCTCATGCTCCTCATGCTTGCCATCCCTTTGACATGGTTCCCCACTGTGCTGTTCACATGGTATCCACATGGTTACTTACCTCCTCGATGGCCGCCAAGTCTGCCCAATCAAGACTGCATCATGTGGTACCAAAGATGACTCATAGCTTCTATAAGGCCCACATTCTCCTCATTCTCATAGCTTCTATAGCTTCTATAATCGTGGTCCCACCTCATCCTCATTCTCCTCATGTTGCTCTTCAAAAGGCCGGTCCTCCTCTCGCTCCTCATTCTTAATGGAAAGCACCTCATACCTAGTCTAAGTGGGAATAGGCTTCCTCATCAGATCTCATCCAATGTGCAGCACTCTCACTCTTCCCATCTCTTTCCAAGATTGGCTTGGTCTTGGCGAAGAGATTTAGTCTTGGGGATCCCTCCTCGTCAAGAGATTTAGTCTTGGTGACCTCTCCTGATTGATCCCCCAAATCAGCCAACCTTCCGGGGGGTTAGGTGAGCCAAGAATTCAAAGTTACAGCAATCACATCTTGGATGCCTGGGGTGTACTGAGATGATATACATACACCAATGCACCATGTATGGTATATCAATTCAGGCATTTCAACATGTTATATCGCTATCTACTTTATACAGGGGCATGTCCTTCAATCCTGTGATTTTTGAGTTTGCCTGGACAACGATACGGGACATCCGATCCAAATGACACCCAGTCCTTGGATGGCCATGTGCAAGAGGGTGTATAAAACGATAGGGGATGTCCCAATGCCACGTTAAACACAGCTCTAATATACATGTGACATGTGTATGATGTGCACATGAAAAACCAGTTGGGCTGAGCCGGGCTTTTCTTCAAACCTAGTGGACTCGGACTGCAGATGAGAGCATGTCAGATATGGAACAGAACACTGTTGTTTGGATGTAGAGACCCACTGGTGTTTGTCATGGTTTCCTTTTTTTCGTCTGTCGCGGTACCAGGTACTTCATTGGCACACACATGTTTGCCCGCATCGTTTCACCCAATGTTGGTGCAACCATTTAAGATTGCTAAGTGTCATATAGAGCAATGCATCTTGCTGAGCCACATGTGGTTGTATTTGGGCTGTGAGTCAAAGCAAGTTATCCTCTGAAACGTTGCTGGTGCCCAGGACCATGTTGGGCCGCTGGCGCTGATTGGCAGCATTCTGGGAGCTTTGATTCTTTCTGGTTTGCATGCCGTCTAGAGCTCAGAATGGAGGGAACCAAAGGGTCCAGCGCAGGAGGGAGCTCAGCAGTGGCCCTCCAAGACCGCTGACCCGACTGGGCCCTCGGGACGAGTCTGGGAATGCTCATGTGATGGCCGACCGGTGTCCTGGTGCTACATGTCCTGACGTTTGAAGTTGTCACTGTCTTTTACTATATTATATACAGTATGTGTCTATGATACTTTGGACGGTCTCAGGCGTATTTCATGGTCATTCTGCCAAGGCCTACTCCGTTGAATAGCTGTTTTGGAAGGCTGCTTATGATAGCTCGTCGGAACGAACGGTCGGTTCACCTTTCTGAAAGGCAACGTCCGAAAACCCCGTAAAGAGCTGTAAATCCACCCCGGGCTAGCCGGGAAGCAGATTGAAGTTTTCGATATTTATTGATACTTTAGGAGCTGAGAGGTCTTGGCTGATGACCAGATTTGCTGGTGCTTTAGGATTTGGATACCTTTTGAATCAGCTTGCCAAGACAAATCATCTCCACGGTCTCACCAATTGTGAGCACATTTGAGATCGTTTCTGCGTAGGAAAAAAAGGGAACACTTGTTTCGGGAGCCAGAACAAAAAAGACAGACAGCAGCATTGAAAGTTCTTGAATGCATTCTGCGTTGATGTCTATTGGTTTGGAGGTCTTCACTATTAGGTTGGAGGCCATTGCTCGCTTCTAGGTTGGAGGCCATTGCTTTTAGGTTATGTAATGTTATGTTATGTCTTGGTGCTCCGCCGGGTTTAGCTGTAGTTCTGTGGGCTCAGCCGGAGCTTAGCTCCTTGGCACATTCTGTGCGACGATGGCCATGGCGCATGGGGCTCAGAATCCGAAGCGCTGTGAAAGCTCTAAGGAACTCAAACAAACATAAATTATGTGTGACTCTCACGCAACCAAAATTGAATTATGCCTTAGAACAAACTCAGAATGTGTGTGTATATATATGCATAAATTTGATATTTATGAACATTTGGCATGCCACTAAGATTGTGCAAGAGTCATTTCTGTTCCATGAAATCACAAAGTACTATCCCTTTTCCTCAGCCGCCCAGGCTGAGGAAGTGCATTGCAGGGATTCCCACAAGGCTCTCTCTTCGACACAGGTGGTAAAGGTGTTGTGGTGTCTTCCTTGAATGGGCCTCAAGTCCAATTACTGTACTTGGAACCTCTGTAGACTTCGTCTCGTGTACAAGGGTTAGAGAAAGACGCTAAGTTGCCGAAGTTGAGAATCAGCCAACCGGTACAACCAAGACAAGATGTCTTCTCCGCTGCGTCCAAGTGCGTCTCATTGCCGTTGAAACCCGGAGGATGAATCCCTTGTGCCGAGCGGGCACAGCTGGCACAGCCCTTCGGAGCTTCTCGGATGTCTCAACCGATGTGAAGCCCACCAAGAAGGTCACGCTGTCCTTAATGCCAAAGGAGAGATTGGTTTGTCTTCACAGTTTTGATCTGAAGTGTTGACGATGTTGGTCTTGGGCCAGGCAAGATCTTCTCTTGGATCCCGCCTCCGAAGCTTTTTGGCTGGCTTCACCGTTGCCAGGGCGCTGGGTAGTCTATTTTTTGAAGGACAGAAGTGGAGCTAGGCAACATGAAGCTTACACTCCCTGGAACAATCATGGATGTGGAAAGTTGCCCCTTGCGTGACTATTTTCCTGAACAAACATGTACTTTTCCACTTCCATGATTTTTTCAACGAGTGTACCTGTTGAAAGGTAGATTAGGTGTAGCCTGTGTGACAGCCATCATTTTTGGTATTGCAAAGGCTGGGACACTCTCTGGCTACGCCATCTACTACAAGGCAGTGTGACCAGACCAGCTTGCGCCATTTGGCGTGACGCCGGTCGTCGTTGGATGTCGGCGCAGGTCCAGTGGGCGAACGAAGAGCTTGCAGCTATGGCATTTGCCTCGGATTGCGTCATCTGAGCTTTGCAGAAAAATTGGAAGCAATGGCCTCCAACCTACTAGCGATGGCCTCCAAACAATAGCGATGGCC